GGGCCCCGGGCGTGTAGCGGGCGGCCGTGCGCGGAGGGAACCTGCCCCGGGTCCCTGCGGCCGCTTGTTAGAAGAGCCCCGGAGGCCGTGGGGCACCCGGAAGCCGCCCCAGGTGGAGGGAAAGCCCGGCTCCATGTGCTGAGGCTGAGCTCCCCAGCGCCATCCGCGTGAGAAAGGCGTGGCGGGATCAATGTTGGTGCAGTGCCGTGCTCCCCTTGGCATGCCTTTTGCAGCCCCAGTGTCCCTGGAGCTGTAGGCTTTGTGGTTCTCTGAAGCCTAACCCTAACCCTAACCCTACTGGCAGCGTGGGGCTGAGGCTGAGGTCCCTGGTGCCATCACTTGACCTGTAGGTCCCCAGCCTCAGCCCACCTCTGCCATTAGTTAGGGCAACAATTTGTTCTATTTGTGCTCTATAAAAAAATCATAGACAACCTTGCTGTACCTAAAGGTAAACTTAAGCCTAATTTCTTGCTGGCGAAAGGTTGCTATAATATTCTGGGTGAACTGGGTCATGGTTTAACCCCAGCTGGCAACTAAACCCCACACAGCTGCTCACTCACTCCCCCACTGTGAGATGAGGGAGAGAATCAGAAGAGTAAAAGTGAGAAAACTCGTAGGGTGAGATAAAGACAGTTTAATAGGGAAAGCAAAAGCGACACACGCAAACCAAGGAATTCATTCACTACTTCCCGTCGGCAGGCAGGTGTTCAGCCTTCTCCAAGAAAGCAGGGCTCCGTCATGTGTAATGGTTACTTGGGAAGACAAACCACCATCACTCCGAATGTCCTCCTCCTTTCTTCTTCTTCCCCCAGCTTTATATGCTGAGCATGACGTCATATGGTATGGGATATCCCTTTGGTCAGTTGGGGTCAGCTGTCCCAGCGGTGAGCCCCCCCAACTCCATGTGCACCCCCAGCCTGCTCGCTGGTGGGGTGGGGTGAGAAGCAGAAAAGGCCTTGACTCTGTGTAAGCCCTGCTCAGCAGTAACTAAAACATCCCTATATTATCTTTTCAGCACAAACAAAAAACATAGCCCCATACCAGCTACTATGAAGAAAATTAACTCTATCCCAGCCAAAACCAGCACACCGGGTTTTACCTGGTGTTAGTAAAGTCTGCTGTTCTCTTTATCAGTCCTCTTGATAGTTAAGCGATTAATACTCTGCATTTGTTATCTGTGTTTTCTAGGTGTCAGCTCTTGCTTATAATGTTCATGTCTTTACTCAACAGGTTCTTCACTTTCAGGTAGATCAACAGCCTCACCATGTGTGGTATCTGGGCCCTGTTTGGGAGTGATGAATGCCTTTCTGTCCAGTGTCTAAGTGCCATGAAGATAGCACACAGAGGTCCTGATGCTTTTCGTTTTGAGAACGTCAATGGATTCACCAACTGTTGTTTTGGTTTCCACCGCCTTGCAGTTGTTGATCAGTTATATGGCATGCAGCCTATCCGGGTGAAGAAATTCCCATATCTGTGGCTGTGTTACAATGGAGAAATCTACAATTTTAAACAGGTAAGTGTTGTATGGATCATATGGCTTTTTTTTTTTTTTTTTTTTTTTTTTTTAAATTTTTTAAAAATTGGGGTTTTTTGGAAAAGTTTTAAAAAATGGACAAAACTAGTGGATATTTGGAAAATGTTTAAAACATGGTGAACTAGAATGTCAGAAACATTTTTAAAAGTTATCAAATGACTAGTATTTAAAAGGAAGTAAGTTATCTCAATGAGCTGTGAATCTGTGGTGCCTTAGATAGTAACATACTTAGTCTTTAATACTGAAAAATCACTTTTTAATAGACAAGAAGGGCAATAAGTATTTGTATCTTCAGATTTGATCAGTTTAAAATAAAGATGCATTCTTCGTTATCTCTTGGGGAGGGGGATTCCAAGCCTCTTTCTCCCCTTCTCTCTTTGTAATGCAAATGCTTTTAGACTGTGTTGCTCTTCAGTTATTTTGGGTCATTCTCCAAGCTGTCTGGTATTGCATTTTTATTTCTGCATATTAATCTAGATGGGATATGTCCCTTGTAATGTATTAGTGTATAGCATGCCTGCTTATGTATTTAGGTAAAAGCAACAAGCGCTAGGGAGATGTTTCCAGTATGCCACCAAAGTCCTTAGGTGTCTGCAGCTTAAGGCAGATGCTTTGTGGGGTTTTTGAGAGCCACCTACGCAAGTCTCCCGGGCACAAAACAAGCAGCAACTCTGTACTTACTTCCTAAAGTGTCTCAATGTCCCTGATGGGTGTGATACTGCTGCTGAACATCGTCTGTGTGCCTCAGTCCTTGTGCTGAGATGTCCATGCAGCCTGTGTTACTTGCCAAGGGAAGTGATTCAGATCATCCAAATTTGGCATATAAAGCAGCTTACAATTGTGACTGTTTCTGAATCGTGCTGAAACTGATTGCTTAAAATGAATCATAAACTGAGCGTGGTAGTATCAGAAACGTATGAATAATCTGAGATGTCTTAGTACTTCTAACATCACATTTTTGAAGTCAGAGTCAGGCTGCTGTCAGTGATGTCAAGTGACATCAGTAACGTCATTGGGAATTTGACTGAATAGGCAGGAGATTTTTTTTTTCCCGATCTTTTAAGTATCTGGCTGTTTGAAATGTGAGATACACTTTGCCCTGCAGTCCATGTGAAATGTATTGTACCAACAGTCTGTAATACTTGCTGTGTTTTGCATTGTGGTTTTTCTGCTGTTGAAAGCAGTAAGAATTACTCTTAATCATGCTACGCACACAATCCTAAGGGGAATTTAATTATGCAAAGCTTGCATTCCCAGTTGTTCTCACTAGATTATGTACGCTCTCTCTTTATAAAGAGATTTTTCTTTCAGGCTTGTGGCTGAAACCTACCTAGGAAAGGATCGTTGGTTAAACAGGCATTTTGTTTAGGGCAATGACTTAGTTATTTTAATATTGACTCAATTTGATCCAAGACTTTGCCCCATAAATAACAATTAAAACCAAAGAATTTAAGTTAAAATACTAAAGCATTGGTTTTGTGGGATTTCTTGGCTTTTTAGTGTTTTATTGAAACCCCGTCTTTCCCTCTGTCTGGTAGATGTTGAAAGGACTTTAGGAGTAGCATCACAAGAACATGAAAATATTTGGTCTGACTTAAGTCTGACAGCTAATTTCTTCCACCCCCATTCCATCTGCACAGGCAGAGCGAAAAGGTTAGTTTTAGGAATGGAGGAAGATTAGGGAGAAAGAAATTCTCTGTGCATAAAAAAACCACTGAGGAATTGCAGTGACTGCATAAGTAAACCAAAGTTTATTTCTGAAGTACTTTACTCTGCAGAGATGTTACCAGTGTCTATATGTTTTGGGGTGGAGGGCCTTATGTAAATGTCATTATTATCTGATAAGAAAGTGGCACCGATTGATTTGAGACTACAAAAAACGGTGATGTTGTTTCTGGTCCTATTTTGAGTTGGATTTTTAGAAGCAGTGGCTGCCAGCTTCTGCCATTTGTCTCTGGGAGATGGGGAGGCTAGTGCTTCTGAAGACCAGGGGCATGGGGTTGCTGTTTGACATCCTCAAATAGAAATGTGTCCCTGAAAACTTGCCATAATGTGAATTGCTTAAGACTGCAGAATCAATCTACATTGTCTGAGAGATGATCCCGGGTAATATTTTGAACACAAAAGTATAATTTCCTTGTTTGGCGGAAATGTTTTTATAACTTTTGGACTGTGATTTTACAAAAACCCCTTAGTTTTCTTATTAAAGAATTACATGAATGGTGTTGTTTTTTCAGTTAATAAGCGATGTTTGCAAATGCTTATTCATGTTTTTCTTTATATTTTTTCTTAGTTGCAGAAGCAGTTTGGATTTGAATATCAAACGTTAGTGGATGGTGAAGTTATCCTTCACCTTTACAACAGAGGAGGAATAGAACAAACAGCATCCATGCTAGATGGTGTATTTGCTTTCATCCTTCTGGACACTGCAAACAGAAAAGTGTTTCTGGCGAGAGATACCTATGGAGTCAGACCACTGTTTAAGGTGCTGACTGATGATGGATTTTTGGGTGTCTGTTCTGAGGCAAAAGGTAAAATCAGTTGTGTTTAGTGCCTAAATAACCTTAGGTATTGTGGTCGGAGCCAAATTTCCTTGTCAGGCTTTTCTTCTAAGTGTGAAGAGAAAGTGAACAGTAAGTTCAGTAATAAATGAACTATATTTAGTAGTATAAGAACTACACATCATTAAAACAAAACCCACAGACAGTAAACCTCTAAGGTGTTTAACTGTCCTTAATATCTCTAAAATAACTTGCTTATTTAATTTTATAATTCTTTGTGTTCTGGCATCATGGCAGTATTGAGCCCAAGATGTTTTATGTTACCCCAAAGTTAAATGCAGTCTATAGAGTTAGGCTAGATTTATGCTACGAGAAATTATATTAGAATTTGTTCCTGGTGTTCTATGGTGAACTGGGAGATAAGGGCACAAGAACTGCTAAATCTGTAAAAGCCAAGAATTTCAAAAGCCTACTGAAATTTCCTGCAGCATTGGGTGATTTTCTAGTGACACTTATTTTATTTGATGATGATTTTTTTCCTTTGAGATAACACAGCCACTAGTCTTTTTTTTTTTTTTTTTTTTTTGAAGTAATTCTCTCTAGTCTTGACACTTGCATAAACAAATCCAAACAGTGCCAAAAGGGAGTTTATTGCCTAAAATGCACTTTGGCTAAAATTGACTGTCACGATTACTTGTGTCTCTCCCGTTTACTGTATATCAATTTTATTATCGGACTCCAATGTAGGTTGGCTCCTCTAATAGTAGTACTAAGTACTAGTACTAAGAGCTGTACCATCTCTGCTTCTTGGGAAGGAAGAAAGGAAGTGTATATTTTAAGGACTGTGTCCTATAACCATCACAGTGAATTACTGGTCCCTCTCTAACAGCAATTCAGTATCTCTTTTGTGGAGTTCCTTAAGAGGCATCCAGGTGACCAGCAGATGCAAAACATCCTCTTTCACAAGAGGAATGGAAATGAGGTTTGGCCACAAGTCTGATTTTTGGCGTTCATTAGCAGGGGTGTAGATCAGTCTGGAACTGACGAGTTACGAAATCACTAAATCAGTGTCAATTAAGCAATCACTTCAGTGATGTAGTTTTATTACAAACCTGTTGTTAGCTTGACTACACTTAATTTTAAACACAAAATCAGTTACTAACTATCATTTGAATTCTCATAAGCATATTACACCTTGACCTGACTACATCATGTAGTCACTTAGAAAAGTGCTCTTCTTAATGCTTGCAGGAATAAATTGCTACTTACCAATTAGTAAAATTTGCTGGCTTCCTTTCTCTGCTATCTGCCTCAGCTTGAGGTGGCTCAGATCTAAGTGTGCAACCTGCCAGAAGCAGAATCATGCTCCAGCCAGGGCAGACTCAGACTCAAAATGATATTTTGATGATCTTTGACACGAAATTTAGGATCTGGTATTTGTATATAGTTTTAGTACAGAGGCTGTTGAGTGAGGTATAACTTAACCATCCTAGGATAAGAACTCTTGACTTTTTTTTCCCATTTTATCTGTAGGACTTATCAACTTAAAGCATTCAACATCCTTATGTCCTAAAGTGGAACCATTTCTCCCGGGTCATTATGAAGTGTTGGATTTAAAGCCCTCTGGCAAGGTTGCGTCAGTGGAATTAGTAAAATTTCATAGCTATAAAGATGAACCACTCCATGCTGCGTGTGATACAGTGGAAACTCTGCCTTCAGGTAGTACAGCAAAGCATTTGCTACTTATTCTGATTAAAAAGTGGAAAAATTACAATCTTTGAATATAAAATTTGTATTGATTGGTTTTAAAAAGTGCCATTTAAAAAAAAACTGGAAGAACCTTTATAATGTAGGAACTTGAGAATTGTTTTTGTAGGCAGTCATGTACAAAGATATTTGAACTTGCATGCCCTCGTTATCAAAGGAAATTCAGACAAATATCTTTGTTTTCCTAATTTCCTGCATAATCCAGCAAAGTCTAAGTAACACTTCTTGGGGTGTTTTTTTTTTTCCCCCTCTCCTTTTCTGGACAGGCTTTGATCTTGAAACAGTGAAAAGCAACATCCGTATTCTGTTTGAAAATGCTGTTAGAAAACGTTTGATGGCTCACAGAAGGATTGGTTGTCTTTTGTCAGGTAAGTAAAAAGAATCACAATTCTTGTGTCTTCTCTCTCTTTCATCCATAATCTACCAGTTAGAGCAAAGTATGCTGGCTGTTCTGCTGAGATGCACCTGAAGTGATCTGAATCTTTATTTGCTTTTTGGTTACAGAGAACGTCTTAGTTTGTGATAAAGTTTTCCAGTTTACAAGTATCTTGAAAGTCTTATGCTTTTTAAGTTTACTCTGGGATGAAATGTTGGCTTGTTGAGATGCTGACCATTTTTTACTAAGAAAGAAATACAATACTCTTATTGAAAAATCACCCAATGTATTCTTAAACATATAAGATTTATGCTTAGGCTGGTGTCTAAAAAGAAAATGTAATTATTACATTCGCTGTGCACTGAGTGAACATAGAAAAAGACCTTAGCATATTCAGCTAGCAGGAGGAACTGACATTCTTACTTGTCACCTTCTTTGCTTTAGCCTCCATCCTAGACTGTCCTTGATTCACCAAATTACAGGGGAGCATCTGGACCAAAATTATTTGCCACACTCTTTTTTCAGATGAGGTAATAGCTTGTGGTACAGGAAGTTGCTCACTGAATTGGCTGTTACCAGATCAGTGTTACAGAAGTGCTTTACAGAAGGAAGGCTTTGTAGCCATGGGGCTGACATCTTATTTACTGTGTTTTTGTAGCACTTTGTACTTGTGGTTAGAGTTCTGATGCCATAGAATCATAGAATAGTTTGGGTTGGAAGGGACCTTTAAAGGTCATCTAGTCCAACCCCCCCCTGCCATGGGCAGGGACATCTTCAACTAGACCAGGTTGCTCAGAGCCCCATCCAACCTGACCTTGAATGTTTCCAGGGATGGGGCATCTACCACCCCTCTGGGCAACCTGTTCCAGTGTTTCACCACCCTCATCATAAAGAATTTCTTCCTTATATCTAGTCTAAATCTACCCTCTTTTAGTTTAAAACCATTCCCCCTTGTCTTATTGCAACAGGCCTTACTAAAAAGTCTGTCCCCGTCTTTCTTATAAGCCCCCTTTAAGTACTGAAAGGCTGCAAAAAGGTCTCCCCGAAGCCTTCTCTTCTCCAGGCTGAACAACCCCAACTCTCTCAGCCTTTCTTCACAGGAGAGGCATTCCATCCCCCTCATCATTTTTGTGGCCCTCCTCTGGACCAGCTCCAACAGACTCATGTCTTTCTTGTGCTGAGGGCTCCAGAGCTGGATGCAGTACTCCAGGTGGGGTGTCACCAGAGCAGAGTAGAGGGGCAGAATCACCTCCCTCGACCTGCTGGCCACGCTTCTTTTGATGCAGGCCAGGAGGCTGGATATGGTTGGTTTTGAACATCAGTAATTACACTCATTTATCATGAACCCTATTAAATGTGCATTTGAAAGAGAGAGAACTGACTAGGAGATACTGTTGGACCATTTCGTTACTGTGGCATCATAAAAAGTAGGAAGGAGATAAATGAAACAGGGAGATACGCAGAGTTGGAAGATCCCAGTCTCAGTAAAAAGCCTGTTCAAAACCCAAATTTCAGATATCAAATTAGAAGGCAGTCAGCAGCTCCTCAGATGCATGTGCAGAATGTATTAGTAGCAAAACAAAGTGCCCATGCTGGTATAATACCAGAGTGCTTCACAATTTGAGTATGCTTGGAGCATCACGGTTGGAGAAGTACTTTTGTTTCCAATTACAGAGGGAGTTCTGCAACTTCACAGTGGAAACTCAGGTTTTGATTTCCCTGATTTCCACATCCTAAGCACTCAGTTTGATTTCTATGCTCTCCTTTTCTCAGACTCTGTGTGTAATTTCTACAGAAGGAGATTTCTTTTACAAGGTAGCATGCCCACAAAGGGGATCGGGATAGGAATGAATGCTAATGCACTCAGCTGAAAAACCACATGCAGACTGTAGGAAACAAAGAGAAGAGGATTTTGCCTCGTGCTTGTCAGAACTGCAGGCAGGTGTGGGAGAAAGGGTACTGTGTTTTTCTCAGTACTTCAAAGGGGAGCAGCAAGTAAAACTAGTCAAGGATTAGTAGAATTAGTTCCTGAGAATAAGATGGAGCCTTAGAGTATATCTGGGCACCTTGTGCATCTCTTGGCTTTATTGTTTGGTTGTTTTTCAAACTGTTCAAGTCCTTCCACTGTCCTCCTCTGAGAAAGAAGAGGAGGAAAAAAAAAGAATGTCAAAATGAACTTTGAAGTGATGTTTAAAAAATTAATTCCACTCAAAATATGTGAAATGTTTTTGAAAAATGATTGGGGAAGAGTAGAATCCTTACACTAAACGTTCTGTTCTTTTGCTTAATTCTTTTTTTATTCAAACAGCAAACCAAAAAAAATTTACATAGTTCTGTCAGTAGAGTATCAAATATGTAGGTAAGAAGAGGATAGAGAGCAGTTTTGAAATGGAGAATAAATCCCATTATAGCAGAGTTGAGAAGTGGCATGTTCTATAGTGGTACAATGTTTTCAGAACACTTTCTGTGTATCTTGAAGAAGGATTTCCACTGATGCTTCTGACATCTAAAGTACTAACAACTGTTACAAGATGTTCCACTAAAGTTGCTTGATTATCTTGTTAAGCAGAGGTAAATGTGCACTTGTACAAGAAGTACCTTGGATTCATATGGCTTAAAAATGAAGCCCACTCATGAGATTCCACTGTCTAGATTCAGTGTCTTTAAGGGGAAATAAAAAAACAGTCAAACACCTAACCAAATAATTTGTTTTGTTGGCAGGGGGCTTAGATTCCAGCTTGGTTGCAGCTGTTCTTCTGAAACTGATGAAAGAACTCAACATCAATTATCCATTGCAAACCTTTGCAATTGGAATGGAAAACAGTCCCGACTTAGTGGCTGCCAGAAAGGTATAGTAAGCGTTGCTTTCAGTTTGTTCTGAGCTGCTGAATGCTAAGCAGTGTATATTAATGGTGCTAACTTCGTTTTATGGTATTAATAGTAATACTGAATATTCATGTATTGGTATGATGTAGACCAGTTTGCAGTAGATCATTTAGTACAACATTTGCTGCTTAGTTAAATCTTACGAAAGAGATAATTGAGCCTTACCTGTTTTCTCTTGCATTTGGAAGACTTTCGTGACAGACTCCCATTGCATTGTTACCAAAAGGACAGTACTTCAGAGTTGTCTTAATTCTGGCTTTGGGTTTTAGGGTAAATCTCCATGCTATGGTTCCTATACTATGGCGTTTGTATATATGTTAAGTACTGTAAGTTAATTGTCAGTTTACTGAATTAAAAGCCTTGTACAAACTGTTTGGCATCTGGGGTACCCTTTAGGTATCCAGGCTGTCATGGCTTTTGACCTGCTTTTTCTCTTCACTGCAAATATCCGGAGTATTTAGAGCCTCTACAGATTCTGTTATGCTTTGGGCAAGCAGCTGGATGGTCTGTTGTAATCATGATTGAACACTGTAATTAGGGAGACTATGTTTCCTCTGGTGAATGTACCATTGCAAGTCAGAGGGCTGCTACGGTATCGTCTTTTCTTGGCCTAATGTCATATAATTCTCATTGTGGCAGAAGGGAGCTGGTGTTTTCACTCAGCGTGTGTGTTTTAAACAATGTATGTTTAAAAAATGTTTTAATTGAAAAGCAATACATTATTGTGACCTTTTACAAACAGGTGGCAGCACATATAGGCAGTGAACATCATGAAGTAATATTTAATTCTGAAGAGGGAATTCAGGCAATAGAGGAGGTTATCTTCTCCTTGGAAACCTATGATATAACAACAGTAAGAGCTTCAATTGGTAAGATTTTTTTTTTTAATAGCAATCTTTGCTTTATATAGCCCAAATAAAATTTTATGCAAAATCATGTAGTCATCTGCAGGATCCTTCAGCTGTCACAGAACCTGGGAACTGGGACTCCCAAGTTCTGCTCCCTAGTCTTACCTGTGATACCACACTGAGGCAAAACCAGTTATTAGTTTCAAAGTTACCGACTGTACAAAACAATTGTTAAGAGCTGTTCCTGAAGCTTTGGGATGAAAAACAAAAGTTATATGAAGAAGAAATGTTAGATTTACAGGTCTAGGTTTTCTGCTCTGATAAGTATAAATCTTGGAGGGAGGGGGAAAATTTACAGGTTATCTGAGGTACTGAATGTTATGATAGCAAAACAATTATGATTACCTATTCCTTGCATAATTTTAATACTGAAGTGAAGTATTCTTTGTCACCCTCTAGTAACACATGTGCACTTAAGCCAGGTAGACTTCTTATAATGTGTGTTTGATTCTGAGAAATGAAGGGAGTCACCAGTAGCTTCTCACAAAGTCTTGCCAACCTGATAAGAATGAAAAACCCTCATCCAATGTGACCTTCTGTGTAATGCCAGCTACGACATTTTACCCAGTTAATCTTGTGTCAGCCTAAAACTTTGTAAAAAAGATTGGTAAGCCAAATAGGCAACACAGTTTTGAAAACCCAGATGCCTGAGTGGAATTTGGTACATGAAGATAGGATTTTGCAATGTGAAATATTGAAAGTGTTTCTTTGAAAAATAAAGCCAATTTTTCATCTGTCATCTTTCTTTGTGATTGCGGCTTAGTATGAGAAATAATGACCTAGATCCTTTTCATTAGATCTTTAATACTTTCATTATAAAAGCATATTGTTTGGAAAGATGTAATAAGGGGAAGGCATAATTCTGATTAATAAATAATTATTTAAAAAAAAAAATTTAAAAAAGGGCTTCATCCAATTCAACCCACAGAGAGTTAAGCAGCAACTTTTGCTGGTAGTTTTGTTCTCCAAAGCTAGAAGGTTTGTTCAGGACTATGCTGGAATTCATCATGTGCTTAATTTCAAACTGACTCAGAGCAACTCCTATATGTGTTCCCACGGGAATTCTCCAGTATTCCCAGGATCACAGACACACACATCTTTCTGATATTTTGAGGGCTAAGTATAAGTACACAGTTTAGAGGTATTTGCAGCACTTAGTTTGTGTGGCTGTTGATGGCTTTGAATAACAATGAGATGTTATTTTAGTATATTGCACTTGTTTGCTACAGAAGAAAGTAGTGCAGGAGAGAAACATCTACAATGCTAAATTTAAAACTGTACTAGCTGTATATGGCATCAAACACGTAGCTGTATTTTAATAACTCTATACTTCTTTTTTTTAAGGTATGTATCTTGTCTCCAAATATATACGGAAGAAAACAGACAGTGTGGTCATTTTTTCAGGAGAAGGATCAGATGAGCTGACACAAGGATATATATATTTCCATAAGGTAAATATGTTCACTATACAGAAAGCCCTTGAGCTGCTTGTTCTCCCCTTCAACAGAAAATCTCTACTGAGATTTCAAGGTGTGAAGTTTGAAAGTTGTCACACCTATATGTTTGCAGAGAATTTCTCCTGAGGTGGCATAAAATCCAATGAATTCAATTTAATCACTTGAAAAATAACTTTTTTAAACTTCAAAATTCCTGAGACTGTTATTTCTCTTTTGTGGTCTTTGCTAGTTCTGAGATCACTCAGTGATAATTACAACCCAAACACCAGACAGCAAGTAATGGTTCCCTCAGTGCAGCTGTTATTATGTCTGTGTGCTACATGCATATGTCTGGTTACAGGCGCCGTCTCCCGAAGAAGCTGCAGAAGAGAGCGAGAGGCTTCTGAAGGAGCTCTACCTGTTTGATGTACTTCGTGCAGACAGAACTACTGCAGCACACGGGTAAAACAGTCTCTTGGATGCTCAGGACTTTTGTGATTTAAAAGGTGTTCAGGTGGTGTTCTGTATTGGGGCCAGTCCTGTTCAATATCTTTATCAACAATCTGGATGAGGGGATTGAGTGCTCCCTCAGTAAGTTTGCAGACGACACCAAGTTGGGCGGGAGTGTCGATCTGCTCGAGGGTAGGAAGGCTCTGCAGAGGGACCTGGACAGGCTGGATCGATGGGCTGAGGCCAATTGTATGAGGTTCAACAAGGCCAAGTGCCGGGTCCTGCACTTTGGCCACAACAACCCCATGCAGCGCTACAGGCTTGGGGAAGAGTGGTTGGAAAGCTGCCCAGAGGAAAAGGACCTGGGGGTGCTGGTTGACAGCCAGCTGAACATGAGCCGGCAGT